CCCCCCCCCCCACAGAGCCGATTCCCAGCACAGCAGCCGAAGCAAAGAAGTCCGCCAAGATCCGAACTCGGCAGAAATCAAATCGACGGCGAACCGGTCATTAACGGGTCGCCGCGCACTGACCGTCGGCCAATTGATGTAACGAAAGCAATGGTATGAGAGGAAGAAGACAAAAAATAACATGGTTTAATGACCCTCAACCAACCCCCACAGCACCCGAGTAACTGCACGTCGATTCGAAGTATGTGTGTCTGTATTGAAAGCCTTGGCAGCCCGCGCGGCTTCGACACCGAAGCGCCTCCGCGCGAACGACAATAATGACTGCCACCGTCAGCTACCCCTATATACCCCAACCACGACAACACACACGGCGAGCTTGATTGTGCACCCATGGGTCCCTGACAATAACAACACACGCGATGGACCAGGCCGCGCAAAAGGACGGTTAGCATCACCCGGAACTGGAAATTTCGCCGCGCTCCGAACCTCGTGTCCACGCTCTGCCGCTCTTTGTAGGAAGGCTAGCCGTGGGTGCAGCACCTCACAAGTCGTCGCGGCGCGGGCCCCAACAGACCCCTGCGAACACCGATTGCCCCTATCGACTAAACTACCTGATTTCGAAAGGCAAAGGTAGAACAACGTGCAACTCCAACACCCAGGCGGCGTGGAGAAGAAAATTACAACCATGGATGGAAGACCCTCCCGGAACCCCAACAAATCCCGGTCCGCGAAAACGAGAAGGCCAACTCCGACTTGTGCGATGGCAATGTTGACACCTGACCGCGCGAACCGCGAAGCACGCCGAGGCAGAAGCATGTCGGCGACTGAACCTCACCTGTCGCGACGATTCCTTTCATCGGAGGGCAACGAAGATCAACGGCAGACCGCATTTCGACCCGGCCACAGAAACCGTCGTCAACCCCAATAAACCCCTTTAAGGGCAATYCTCAAGACGAAAAATTTTGCGCACCACMAGGCCACCGCGCACGAAAAYGCAYRGGGAAGTCTAAGCCATTGAAAATGACGGTCAGAATAACGCAGAGTCCCGAAGCTCGCAAGAGCCGTCGTTCAAGCGGGCCTTGGAGCACCAAGGAACTGGTTTTCGCGTGGCCGGTGTCATTTAAAGGGAGCGTCAGCGGGGGCACGCAAGGAACGCCATTTTCGGGCGCACAGAAGGAAGGCCATCGCGCTTTCAATTGGTCGTCGTGCGACAACACTCGCAGAACAGAGGGTAGCGGTGGATGTACCACCAGACAATTCGGTGCAGCGCGACCCCAAATTGACCCCTACAGACACAGACGGCGAGCAATGTTGCGCACCAATACTCCTCGCGCAATCGACTCGCACGCAAAGGTCCACTCATCATGCGAAGGACGGTTAAATTCCCACGGATCCTCAAAGTCTGTCGGGATCCCAACTCGGCGGAATGCGAGTGCAGCGAGTAACAGGTTTCCGCACGGCTGCAGCTATTGGAACGGGTGGTTGGCGTTTGCACAGAAGCAGGCCATGCTTGGGGGCACCCCCCACAAACCCCCATAAGCCATTTCTTGAATCGAGCATTTTGCGCACCCCTGGGCCTCCGACTTCCAAAACACGTCGGGATCGAGGGCAGACCGACAACGGGCACGTCTGCTGTCATCGACGGCAACCCCCAGAAACCCCTACACGGGCATTCATGACGGCGAAGAATTTTGCACACCAATACTCCTCCTGGAAGAAACTCGCACGGAAAGGTCCACGCCTCATGCGAAGGACGGTTAGATTCCCACGGTTAGATTCCCGCGGTCAGATTCTCGTAAATAACATGTCGAAATGCTGAAATGGATGGAAGACCCCCTCCCCTGCAACCCTTCCAAACCCCGACTCCGCCAGTCGACAAGGCGAACCCCGATTCGCTCGCCGGGAACGTCGACGTGTGACAGCGCGAACCGAAAAGCGCTCCGGAACACGAGCACGTCCGCGACAACACTCCGCGCTCCTCGACGGTCCAAACCCGTAGGGGGCAACATAGATCGACGACAGACCGATGAAGGTCACGTCTGCTGTCACCAACGACACCCCCATAAACCCCTACGCGGGCATTCGAGGCAGCGAGGAATTTTGTGCACCAATACTCCTCCCTGGACCAACTCGCACGAAAAGGTCCACGCGTCATGCGAAGGACGGTTAGATGCATGCGGATTCTCAAAGTCCGCCGGAATCCGAACTTGGCGGATGCGAGTGCAGCGAGTAACAGGTTTTCGCGCGGCTGCAGTTATTGGAACGGGTGGTTGGCGTGTGCACAGTAGCTGTTGATGCTTGGCCGCACCCCCCATAAATCCCTAAACGCCAATTCTTGAAGCGAGCACTTTGCGGAACGAAGGGCCTGCGACTACCAGAACACGGCGGGATCGACGACACACCGACAACGGACACGTTTGCAGCAACCGACATCAACCCCTGTAAACCCCTACACGGCCATTCCAGACGGCGAGGAATTTTGCGCAGCAGAACTCCTCCCGGAAGCAACGGGCACGCAACGGTCCACGCCTCATGCGAAGGACGATTAGATTGTCGCGGATCCTCAAAGTCCACCGGGATCCGAACTTGGAGGATGTGTGTGCAGCGAGCAACTGATTTTCTTGTGGCTGCAGCTATTGGAACGTGTGGTTCGTGTTTGCACAGAAACAGACGATGCTTGGCGGCACCCCCCATAAACCCCTACAAGCCATTTCTTGAAGCGAGCATTTAGCGCACCCCAGGGCCCCCGACTACCAGAGCACGTCGGGATCGACGACCGACCGACAACGGACACGTCTGTTGCCACCAACGACAACCCCCTTAAACCCCTACAAGGGCATTCCAGACGGCGAGGAATTTTGCACACCAATACTCCTCTCGTAATCAAGTCCTACGCAGTGGTCCACGCGTCATGCGCAGGACGATTGGATTCCAGCGGATCCTCAAAGTCCACCGGGATCCGAACTTGGCGGATGCGAGCGCAACGAGTCACAGGTTTTCGCGGGGCTGCAGCGGTTGGAACCGTTGGTTGGCATATGCACAGAAACAGACGATGCTTGGCCGCAGCCCCCATAAACCTCTACAAGCCATTTCTTGAAGCGAGCATTTAGCGCACCCCAGGGCCTCCGACTACTTAAGCACATTGTGATCGACGGCAGACCGACAACGGACACGTCTGCTGCCACCAACGGCAACCCCATTAAACCCCTACAAGGGCATTCCAGACGGCGAGGAATTTTGCGCACCAACACTCCTCTCGCAATCAAGTCGCACGCAATGGTCCACGCGTCATGCGTAGGACGGTTGGATTCCAGCGGATCCTCATAGTCCGCCGGGATCCGAACTTGGAGGATGCGGGTGCAGCGAGTCACAGGTTTTCGCGCGGCTGCAGCGGTTGGAACGGTTGGTCGGCGTTTGCACAGAAACAGACGATGCTTGGCCGCACCCCCCATAAA